TCCCCTTGTCACCTGGTGGTGTGTGTGGGCCACGACTTCAAGGTCTGCAGCTCTGGATGGTCTTGTCTCTCCTGGTAGTCTCCTCACTCAGTAGGGGGCAGGCCTCCAAAAAGGGAAGGAAGAGTGAGGTATTTCCAGATTCAGGGGGCTCCTACCTTCCTTCGTGGGGTCACTCTAAGCAGGCACAGGTCCAGATTTTTCAGGAGTGAATGGGAAATTGGGTCCAAATAGGACAGGAGCAGAGGGTACACTCACCTATGTAGGGGTCAGGCTAGTGGAGGAGGGGGACGGAAGACTCACCAAGATTCTTGAGATTGACATGGAGATATAGTAATTTTATTGAACATTTTGTTTGGTGGAGCCAGATGTTTTTAAAGTTAGAAAGTACTTGGTATATGTAAGTAATTTATAGCAACCTGCAAAGATTGCATCCTGGAGAAGCACCGAGAAGGGAGAGTCAGAGTAAGCTTTTGTGTGGTTCATGAAGACAAATTTTGTGTTTTGTTCAAGTTCCTAATGGAAACAATTGAAGAGAGAAAACCCTTTTCAAAAAACATTTGTATGGATTTATATTCTGACTAGAATTTCATATATGATATCTGGCTTTTAATATAGCTGAAGACAATCAAGCTTATTCCTGTTCAGTGCAATTATACCTCTAGACTAAGCAATGCTTCATTTTCTTTTATGAATAGAAATACTATGCTTTTTCAATGGAGCTTTGAAAAAAGAAATACAACATATGCAAGACTTATTTGCTGAAACAATCTTTGTGGGTTCAGAGTTACCAGGCCTATTTTGTCTAGAAGATACTGTTTCCGTGGAATCATTCCCCATCTTCGACACTGACAATGCTATTACCTCCTTTTCTGCATAGATATTTGAGGTTTGAATTGGAGTTTTGGTGCAGACATGTTGTTTAGGAGCAAGTGCTCCAAAGTCTCTCATTTTTGGAAACCCCAGTTTTGTTATTTCTCATCTACTGGAAGAAGCTTTCCTAATGACTGTTGAAAATGCACTCATCTATGTGAGAGATTTTATTGATAGGTACCTTTAGCATAATAATATGAATAGGCTTTCCAATAGTCCCCCGTCCCATCTTTTCTTAGGTTTTTAGTGGCATTAACAGTGTCAGGTATGTGATTTTTTTTTATGGATTTGCATCACAAAGCCATAAAAATGAGTTGTTACTCCAATAACATTTGTGCAATAATTGCACCTATATATCCTGTAGGCATATAGCCACTGAACTTTCAGCATTTGTATCTGGGTGTTATTGATGATTTCTTTTCTCTTCCAGTAGTGTAAAGAATACCTTCTACACAAGCTCAATTTTGCCGTGTAAGGATTTCATAAGTAGTACTATTTGTAGGAATAGGCCTTATTATTAGGTTGTGGAGAATGACCTTTAACCTTAGCTGAAGCCAGTGATGATTTTGGAGTTTTTGTGATCCTATTAATGAATGACTGAATAATTAAAAAAACACATTTCTGATACTGGAAGATTTATTATTGTTGGACATATTCATACACGATTAATGCCTTAGATCATTTCTACCCTTCTTTCACCCTAGCTCCTTCCATGTATAGTCCATTTGATTCTCCATCAGACCATGGATGGCCCCAACAATAGCAAGTTGGTCCATCATCCAATAATCATTAATTAACGAAATACCTTGCATCTGGATGCTATGGAAATATGTTTTCCTTTTTCTTTTTTTTATTTTAGAAGCACTCTTATTTACATATCAATCCCCACTTTCCCTCACCTTCCCATCATACCGCATTCCCCACCAACCCCCTCAACCTGTTCCACACCCACTCCCCGGGATCATCAAAGCCTGCCACATCAATTGGAGGAGGGCCTAGGTCCTCCTTCTTGGATCTGAGCTGCAACAGAGGCCCTCCCTACTGAATGGGTTCCCAAAGTCCATTAGGGCTCTAGAGATAAATACTGGTTCCACTGTTAGAGGTCCCAGAGACTGCCCTGGTCTCCTAACTGACACCCACATTCATAGGGCTTAGTTGGTCCAATGCTTGTTACCTAGATTTATGACTAGGGTCTCTGTCCACTCACTTGTTCAGGTCAACTGTTTCAGAGGGTGTCTCCAGCAAAGTCTTGGCTCCTTTGCTCATCCATCCTCCCTCTCAGCAACTGCATTCCAGGAGTATGGCTCAGTGTTTAGCTATGGGTCTCTGTTTGGCTTCCATCATCTACTGCATGAAAGCTCTAGGAATGGCAACCAAAATAGTCATCAATCTCATTTTAGGGGAAGGGAATCAAAGGCAGCCTCTCCACCACTGCCTAGATTCTTAGTTGTAGTCATCCCTGTGGATACCCTAACATTTTCCCTGTGCCAGACCTCTCTCCAAACCTGTACTGTCTCCCTCTATCAAGGCATCTCCTTTCTTGCCCTCCTCTATTCCTCCCCTATCTCAGTACTTCTGTTCTCTCCTCTTCTCCCCCCTTCTTCACCTTCCCCTCTCCCCTTTCCACCTCCCTCTTCTCTCTCCCCATGCTCCCAATTTGCTCAATTTGTTCTTGTGCCCCTTCCCTGTTTGGGGGGGCATGCAATCTTCTCTTGGGTGTCCTCCTTGTTTCCTACTTTCTCTGGTAGTGTGGATTGTGGACTGGTCATCCTTTGCTCTAAGTCTATATCCATATATGAGTGAGCACATACACTGCTTGTCTTAATATGGTTGTGTTACCTAACACAGGATGCTTTCTTCCAGGTACTTCTATTTGTTCACAATTTTCAAGATTTCATTGTTTTTCCCCCAGTGAGTAATACTCCATTGTGTACATGTAGCACATTTTGTCCATCCATTCTTTGGTTGAGGGGCATCTAGGTTGCTTCCAGGTGCTGTCTATTACAAACAACCCTGTTATGAACATAGCTGAACTGATGTCCTTATTGTATGAGAGACAAGGGAGTGTAAGTCTATTGATATGGTAATAGTGAGTAAAATATCAATACATAGGTCCTACAAAATTTAGTTATATACAAATACAATCTGTTATTGAGGAAAAAATGGGTACTCTGCCAAATATATCACTGACAATTGTCCACCCTATTATTCTGCAAGGTGTTTTTCTGTATATGCATTAGCATTTCATAGGTAAAGGCATAGGCCCAAGCTAGTATATTCTAGTCTATATTGATTTAAAATGCCCCAGTGAAATAGAAATATTATAACAGAATTTACCTAATCCCTTCTGATTAGATACACTGATTAATAGTAGAATAAAAACCATAAATTCTGTAATAAGTAATATCACAATTTCATGTTGTTTCCACATATATCTAAATATAAACTTACATTTTTTGGAAAATTACTACATTATGCTCACATTCCATGCTTCCACTGCTTGCTCTGCCTCATTTAACTTCCTCATTGTGATCCATCAAATTCTTCATCCTGTTCATAGTAAATATTTCCTAAAAGGCATTAAATGACAATATTTATGTTGAAGAAATAAATCCCTTTGTCTACACTGACTGTTCATAAATTCCCACCATATAACTCTTAGTGTATGACCTCCTAAAATGTTTAGAATTACTCAAGACCCACATTGAAAGGCAAATCTCTAAGAAATATTATGAACACTAGTAAAGACTTTGCAAATACACATTGCTTATACTGTTGATTTGAAATATAGCTATTGAAGTCAAGATGTAGAAGTATAAGTTGAATTATTGCCAATAAAAACATATGAATAGGAAAACCCCCATGAATCAAGGTGGATTTTTAGTTTGATTTTCTATTTTTCAAGAGTCATTTATAAGATGAAATGGTTTGGAAAGTCTCTCAAGTTCCAAATGTGCAAAGTAAAAACCCTAAATATTTTCTTCCTTGATTCAAGAATTGAGCCATGTGGAATAGGCTAGCTGTCACTCTTCATCCAGGCTCTAGGCCACAGGAGCTAATTTTCTAACTGAATATGTGAATAAGGTAGAAATGCATCATAGTTATGTATATTGAAGTAGTAACCCTGATGGTGTGGGTACCCATGGAAATCAGTATGTTCCCACAATGTATTGTAGACTTTTAATTGATGGCTGAAACTTTCTCTTGGAAATGAACTATCTTCTCTCTTCTCATACATTTTTGTCTTATGATTTTCATACTCCTGTGCAGCACAGTCTTTAGTACATGACTGACACAAACTTGGAATTTCTGTATATCCACAACTGGAGATTTGAATCCAACTCTATCATTGGCAAAGTACAAAGTGATATAATTCTGCTATATGAGTGGTAATAGAACACACAGTAACAGTGAAATTATTCTTGGCTCCTCAAAATATCAGCAAGCTTATTATTACATGGTCTCTATAAACACTTAAAGAGAACACTATCATTAAACTTTAAAAAAATAATCCATATAAGAAAAAACATAAAAACTACAACATCAAAATAGAAAACAACATGTGCAAAGTCAAGCTGTCCTATACCTAGGAGATAATCTGCAGAGGGTGCCAACATGGAAGTAATAAAAGGCTTTGGAAGAGCACAGAAGGTTGTGATTCGATTCTACATAATGAATAATAAGTATTTTACACAGTTGGAGTTTATTTTGATTTTGATTTGATTGTTACTGTGCTACAGCTAAGAAAGTTTTAAATCATCTTTTCATTTTATACCCAACAGTTCAGAGACATTGGGTTTTTAAATAATTTGGGCTTATAAAATAATTCGATATATTAAAGAGGCTGATTTTTCTAAATGTTTGAATGTTTAAATTCTGTGCCTTTGGGATAGGTAGGGTATTAGTTGGGAGGGCAGGGGAGGAGGGGAATGAGAGGGACCTTTGATTAACATAAATTATCTTCTTTCTAATAAATAAATAAATATGAGATTTTATATAATGCAATTTTGACGTTAATACATGATCTGAGGAATTAACAGGGATGTATACATGGCTTATCAGTGACAGGTTTGTGTTACATATTGAGAAGGGATTAACTGTGCTGGGCATTTAATGTTCTTTTTACACAGGCTGTCCTCAACAGAGAGATGGGAAGGTCAATTGAAAAACATGCGTCCTCAGAGGGATCCTTTCTGGGCAGATTAACAGTGACTTCCAGGGTAAGTCTAGGCACCTGTGCACATAGCACTCTCTTCCCATGGTCCCGTGGACTTTCCTCTAGGCAGAAAGATATGGAATACTCCCCTTGTATGTTGCCTAGGAAACAAGTCTGAAGGTAAAATTATACAATGAAAAACAGGAAGCATCTTCAACAAATGGTGCTGGCATAACTGGATGAGGACATGTAGAAGATTGCAGATAGATATTTATATATCACCATGCACAAAACTTAAATCCAAATGAATCAAAGAAGTCAACATAAATCCAGCCATACTGAACCTCTTAGTAGAGAGAATGGCAGGTATGCTTGAACAAATTGGTACAAGAGACCACATCCTGAACATAATACCACTAGCACAAACATTGAGATTCACAATCAATAAATGAGATCTTCTGAAACTGAAAAGCTTCTGTAAGGCAAAGGACACAGTCAACAAGACAAAATGGCAGCCTACAGAATGGGAAAATATCTTCACCAACCCTACATCTGACAGAGGGTTGATTTCCAAAATATACAATGAACTTATAACATGTGTCTCTCTATTATACTATCTCTTACCTTGCTCTCTTCTGTTCTTCCCCCAACTCAACCTCCCTGTCCCATAATTGCTGAATCTTATGGTAGACTGATTTCCATTTTCCTGAGGAATTGCCATACAGGTTGCCAAAGTGGCTGTACTAGTTGTCACTCCCACGAGCAGTGGAGGAGTGTTCGGTCCCCTTTCTCCACAACCTTTCCAGCATAAACTGTCATTGGTGCTTTTGATTTTAGCCATTCTGACAGGTATAAGATGGTATCTTGGAATTGTTTTGATTTATATTTTCCTGATGGCAAAGGGTGTTGAACAATTTCTTATGTGTCTTTCAGCTATTTTAGATTCCTCTATTGAGGATTGTCTATTTAGTTCTGTACCCCACTTTTTAATTGGATTATTTGGTGTTTCTGAGACTAGCTTTTTTGAGTTCTTTGTAAATTTTAGAGATCAGCCCTCGGTCGGTTATGGGGTTGGGGGAGATATTATAAGTTCAAAGAGAAATCAGGCACTAGGGAAATGTCTGGAGAGCTACAAAGATGGCATCAACTAACAACTAACATCAACTAACATTTAAGAGGCTACCTTAAATGTCCTCTGCTGATATTGAGATTGATGACTAATTCATATGACATTGTATAGCCTTCATGCAGCAGGTGGTGGAAGTAGAAGCAGACACCCACACCTAAACCTGGAACTGAACTGAAATCCAGATGAAGAGAAGGAGGACTAATGAGCAAAGGGGTCCATACCAGGCTGGTGAAACCCACAGAATCAGCTTTCCTGAACAAGGGAGAACTCTTGGTCCCCAGACTAATAGCTGGGAAACCAACATTGTACTGACCCAGACCCCCTGAATATGGGTGTCAGTGAGGAGACATTGGAAATCTATGGGGCCTTTTGTAGTGGATAAGTACTTATCACTACTATAGGAATGGACTTTGGGAGCCCATCCCACATGGAGGGATACTCCCTGAGCCTAGACACAAGGGGGTTGGCCTAGGCCCTATTCCAAAGAATATGACAGATTTGAAGACCCCTATGGAAGGCCTCACCCTCCTTGGGGAGCAGAAAGGGTATGGGATAGGTAGGGCGTTATTGGGGGGGGGCAGGGGAGGAGGGGTGTGAGAGGGCCCTGGAATTGTCATGTAAGATAATTTTCTTTCTAATAAAAAAGGAGAAAAAAACAGTATGTGGCACTGTGCTCAGCTTTTTTTGCAGGAGTACACTGTACTGAAAAAAAAATACTGCTGGGCGTTGGTGGCGCATGCCTTTAATCCCAGCACTTGGGAGGCAGAGGCAGGAGAATCTCTGTGAGTTGGAGGCCAGCCTGGTCTCCAGATCGAGTGCCAGGATAGGCTCCAAAGCTACACAGAGAAACTCTGTCTCAAAAAAACAAAAAATGAAAATAAATACCAATAAAATCATCAATTCTGAAAGTATAATACAAACAACATACCTGCAAGATAAGCAAAAAATATCCTGAAAAATCTCCAAAATTATAGCTAGGTTCTTTTCTAATTGGAAGTATACGGCTGGGCATGGGCCTGCTGTTGAGTAATTTTTTTTTCCCTTTGAGAGTTGTCAATTTGAGATGGGTTCTTGGTTAGTTTTGTGAAACCAAAAAAAGTGTGTGTGTGTATGTGTGTGTGTGTGTGTGTGTGTGTGTGTGTGTGTGTGTGTGTGTACGCATGTGTACACGTGTGTCGTGTGTTCCGCAGAGCCAAAGAAAGAGGGAAGAAGACAGAGATAAGAATATACATGCATTTTGAATGTTTAGTTCCTAAAACAAATCTTAAGTTATCCCTTCAACAATACGATATTGTAGTATACTCCATGCTAAAAGGGAGTATTAGAGTGTTGCTTGATCAGGGTAAAGGTAGAAACCACCACTTCTATATTTACCCCTAGTGGGCTTGTATGAGAAACTCGAACAGACAAAAAGGTTTGATACAGTGTGATACATCGTGAATATAATCACAATATTTGGGGAATCTGATACTGGAAGATTACAAAGAAAAAAAAAAAGCAGCATGCTACATTTGTCAGTAAACAGTCATTCTCAGAAGGACCAAAAATGAATGCTTTCTTGTAAATAGCTATGATGCAGTTGCATGTTCATTAAGGCACCACTGTAAGGTTAAATCTTTTTGCCAGCCACCCACGTCAGGCCCCTCAAATAACACACAGAGTCCTATATTAGTTGCAATGCTGCTGGACAATGATTAAGATTTCTTATTTGCTAGCTCAGTCTTAAGTATCAACCATAACTATTAATCTATATATTTTATAAGGACATATCTTATGTAGAATGCTGGACATGTGCATCCTCTTTTCCTGGGATCACATGGCAACCTCTCTTTACTACATTTCCCAGAATTGTCCTTCTCTCCTTGTCCTGCCTATCTTGCTTCCTTATTGGCCAACAGTGCTTTATTATTAAGACAAACATATACACAGAAGTACTTCTCCCATCATTTCCTCTTTTCTGTCTAAATTTAAAAAAGGCTTTTAACATTACCATGGTAAAATATATAACCAAACAGTTATCTAATGCAGAACGTAACATTACCATGGTAAAATATATAACCAAACAGTTATCTAATGCAGAATGTAATGTGGAATCAGAATTAGATTGATCACAGATAGTTTATTAAGAAAGTACTCATGAAATGGAGCCAGGGACCAGTTTTACACCAGATGCCTGCTTGTTTGTTCAAGGGAGAGGGAAAATAGGACCACATGCATTTGTCTCTGATATTTAAAGCCTTGCTATATCAATCTGACCATGCCTGTGCCAACCCCAAATGTGCATGGTCAGCATTTCCCCATACAGTTATCAAGTGACATCTATAGTTATAATATTTACTCCATTAACATTTAGCAAGGTTTAAAGAAAATAATCTATAATCTATCCTATCTTTCTGAGCCTAAGGTCTTATATGTAACTTATCTTTTCACAGAGATCTGCTTGCCTCTCCCTTCTGAGTGCTGGGATTAAAGGCATACACCACCATCCTTTGTTCCTTCCTTCCCTTCTTTCCTCTTTCTTTCTTTTTCTTTCTTTCTTTCTTTCTTTCTTTCTTTCTTTATTCCTTCCTTCCCTCCTTCCTTCCTTCCTTCCTTCCTTCCTTCCTTCCTTCCTTCCTTCCTTCTTTCCTTCCTTTTCATTCATTTTATCCTGTTTCTTTTCTCTCACAAGTCTATGTATACTTATTTTATTAATTCCTTTATTTAAATTAGAAACAAGAATGTTTTATACGTCACTCCCTGTTCCCTCTACCTCCCCTACCCCCAGTAACATTCTACCTATCTAATAACATTTCTGCTCATCAGGGAGAATGAGGCCTTCTATGGGGGATCTTCAGTGTCTGTCATATCCTTTGGGATAGGGCCTAGCCCCTCCGCTGTGTGTCTAGGCTGATGGAGTATCCTTCTATATGAAATGGGAACCCAAATTCCATTCCCACACTAGGGATAATATTAGATAGGGATATGGAAATTAGGTAATTAGGAACCCCCACATACATTAGGGGAAGGGGATACAGATTAGAGCAGTGATGTAGATCACTACCAAGCATCCCAAATCCTGAACGCCATTGGGAAGAGTCATGTTGTAATTAGGATGCATAGCTCAGCCGTTAAATGCTAGGCTCACAACCAAAAATATAAACAAAAAACAAACAGATAACATTTGAGTCCTGCCTTTGATACAGAAAAAATGAAAATCTGTGGTATAGCATTTAGACTTTAGTCTTCCATATGATTAGATTTGTAAGGCAATGGTAAACAAAGAAAATTCAACATAGTAAAGGCTTGGGCTAAGAAAAAAATGTTTAAACAAGAAAATGACACTCAAAGACTTACAGGTATATAAACATTATATAATGGGGGTAACAAGATTAGTCTCATGGATGTGGAAGCAGAGAAACTGAGCAATGTAACTATTTTTCCTCCCTTGAGACATCTGACTGACATAGCACAAATGGTATCAGTCTCACATCAGCCATTAGGAATACTTGTCCATTAACAGAGAAGACCCTATGGAAATTGGAAGCTAGAGGACAGTTTGAATTGTGGCACACATTATTGAGCCAATTAATTCTGAGGGATGCAATACTAAGTATGTTGCCCAGTTGATTGGGGCTGATAGTACCGTGTTCACAATAATGATTTTGAGACTGTCATGGACATTTACATGCTTCACTGAGCCCTTTGTTAAGCAGGTTCTTAAAGAGCTTGAAAGTCCCTTGCATTTCCAGTTGATACAGATCAGCATGTAATGAGTGTCCATAAAGTGGGATTACATATGGAGAAGATAGGAAAATGAATGGAAAGATGGAAGAAGAGGACTATGCTGTGTACTGGGAGGCAAATATGGCAAGACTTGGGTTGAGCTTGAGTTCCTGAAGTAGAAAAAAATTGAAATTCAACAAAATTCTCTTATAATGAATTAGGAGGTTTAAAGCCCTATTAGAAATCACAGATGAAGACCAAAGCTAATTCCTGATGTGATGTGGGAAATTGTCCTTCCTGATTTATAAGTTTACCTCTATCCTCTGTAGAAAGTTATAACAGTGGGGAAGTATTTTTATAAAGTCCAGGCTTTCTCCCGCAGCCAGTTACATTGCATTGAGAGACAACAGTTGTTACCACAGCAACAATGACAACCTTGAGCCTCTCTGATGACCCAGGAACCCAAACTGAGCAACACGTTCAGCAAGGGAGATCAGGGAATCATTGTCTTTTTCTTCTGTCCTGGTCAAGTAGCAGAACCAGCTTCACCAAATTGGTTAAAGGTAGAAAAAAGCTGAAAGTGTTCCAAGCATGGAAGTGGAATGTCTCAGAGGAAATGACTAAGGATCGTAGATAGCCAACTATTTTATTAGCTTCTATCCATGCTAGTGTAACATTCCTTGATATTCCTTGATGTTAATGGAGATGATGCTGTTAGACCATGCTTATATTTGTCCTTAGTATCTCTTTAGTTTTAATCACCTGAGACAGCCCGGCACTGGCTGGAGAACAGATAATGATGGGCATTGCATGGCCCAAGAGTTTCACCAAGACTATCTGTAGTCTTATTACCACATATGATATTGTATCTGAAGAATTTGCCTCATGTTTTCTGCCAATATTTTCTACGAAGTATTTTTTCTCAATAAATATTATAATGCTGATCTTTGACTGTTTTGACGATTGGGAGACTTCCTTGGCCATCAGAGAAATGCAACTCAAAACAACCCTGAGATACCACCTCACACTTCTCAGAATGGCTAAAATAAAAAACATCAATGACAATCTATGCTGGAGAGGATGTGGAGGAAAAGGAACACTCCTCCATTGCTGGTGGGAGTGCGATCTTGTACAATCCCTTTGGAAATCAGTATGGCAGTTGCTCTGAAAAATGGGAATCAGTCTACCTCAATATCCAGCAATTCCTCTCTTGGGCATATACCCAAATAATGCACATCCATACAACAAGGGCATATGTTCAACCATGTTCATAGCAGCATTGTTTGTAATAGCCTGAATCGGGAAGCAACCTAGATGCCCCTCAACTGAAGAATGGATAGAGAAAATGTGGTAGATTTATACAAGAGAGTACTACTCATCAGATAAAAGCAATGGAATCTTGAAATTCGCAGGCAAATGGATGGCACTAGAAGAAACCATCCTGAGTGAGGTAACCCGCTCACAAAAAGACAAACATGGTATGGACTTACACATATATGAATTTTAGACACAGAACAAAGTATTACCAGCCTATAATCCTCTTCATCAAAGAAACTAGGAAACAGACAAACAAGAAGGACTCTAAAGGAAAAATGCATGGACCCCAGAAACGGGAAGGGGCAGGAACTCCTGAGCTAATTGGGAGCTTGAGAGTAGGGGAGACGGAGCTGCCAGAATGAGAGGAGGAGAAGAGGAGAGGAGGAAAGGGAGGAGCAGAAATATTGAGCTGGGGGAAGAGTAGAGGAGAGCAGGATGAGATATACCATATCAGAGGGAGCCATTATAGGTCCAAAGAGAGTTCTGGAACTAGGGAGATTTCCAGAGACCTACTAGGATGACACTAACTGACAATCTAGGCAATGGTGAAGAGATAACCTAAATGCACTCCCCCTATAATGAAACTGATGACTACTTTTTATGTCATCCTAGAGCCCTCATCCAGTGGCTGATGGAAGCAGAGGCAGATACCCACACATATACACTGAACTGAACTTTTGAACCTAGTTGCAGAGAGGGTGGAATAAAGATCAAAGGGGTGGGTACCAAGCTGGTGAAAGTCACAGAAACAGCTGGCCTGTATAAGGCGGAACACATGGACCCCAGACAGCTGTCTGGGAGGCTAGTACATGACTGATCCAGACCCCTGAACATGGATGTGTCTGCACTCTAGGGGCCCCTGGTAGTGGATTAGTATTTTTCCCTGGTGTAAGAAGTTATTTTGAGAGCCCATCCCAGGTGAAGGGATGCACTCTTGGCCTGGATACATGGGGGATGGGCTAGGCCCGCCCCAGGATGATGTGGTGGACTTTGCAGAACTCCTGTCGAGGGCTCTACCCTTTCTGGGGAGTGGAGAGTGGATGGGGTGGGGAATAGGTAGGGGTTAGGGGAAAGGAGAGGCAGAGGGAGAGGGAGAGGGAGAGGGAGAAGGAGAAGCTATTGACAAGTGAAACAAGCTTGTTCCTAATTTGAACTAATTAAAAAAAAAAGAAATAAAAAAGAGATAAGTGAGTGCACCTGAAGAGGCAAGCATGGAGATTTATTTCACAAAGATGAAAGGAAACAGGTTGCTGGAGAATCTTTGTGAACTGTAGTTATGGATAAAGTACAAGTGACTTTTACCAAGGCTAATGGAAAAGTTACAATAGAATTTCGCTATAAGTGTTAAACTGCCCACAAATGGTAAGTCCTTGTTTTAGTTCTAATATTGCTAATTACCAATGACAATGTTAAGAGTGAGTTACTTCCACAGTAGTTGTTGGTCACAGAGGCCCTAGACGTCTCTATTTTTCCAGTGCTTTTTTGTACTCCCAACTTTAGGAGGATTCAGATAATTAAATGGAACTTTTAGGAATTTGTAGGAAGTTATAGGCAGTATCAGATTTGGAGTAGAAAAAAACCTGAAGGCTCCATGGAATGTCACCTCAGAAATATATTAATTCAATTATTTTTGCTTTTAATATAAAATCTGCAGAGCTCAGAGAAGGCTCAGTCAGCATCATGTGTGACCTGATGTTATAAACACCTAGGTTTTATTTTTAGCATACCCAAGGAAAAAAAAAACAGTCATTGTGGTATGAACAAGAAATTTATGGTCTTGATGGTTTGAACCAATAAGACTAATGTATCTTGTTGGCCATCTAGTCCAGACTACATGGTAAAATTCAATTCACTTTGAATCATTGTCAAATTAGTCAGAATTAATAGACCTCTGCATTAAAACAGTATTTTCTGGACATGATAGCACAGCTGCATACAAGATATTTGAACACATAATAGTTAGGACTGCATGTACAATTCTGGATCTTGGATCAAGCCAGCTAAATATTATTATGGATATACGTAGGATTCAAGAAATATTATCCATATCAGACAGACTGGGCATTTGATGGGCTACAGTCAGACTTCTTCAGGGAGACTTTACATGAGAGGCTGCCCATGTCCCAGTAGATGATGCCAGTCCATTTTTGGAAACAGAACAAACAGAAACACAAATAGTAGTATATGTACTCAATGAGTATACAAAAGATTATGATAAATTTTGATGAAATACTAATACTGAATTCAGAGGAATAATTCTAGGATAGAGTATGGCATTAGATTTTTCAAATATATTATAGATATTTATGAATTTTAAATAAAATATTTTGAAAAAGAAAGTGATCCCCCCCCAAAAAAAAAAAACAATTTAGACATTCTCCATTCACTACAAGCATTCACACAGTGTATCGCTGTACTGAAATGGTAAAAATATGCTTACATTTCCTATTTCCTTTCTAAAATGAATTCCTCTTAAATTCTTTCTTTACCAGTATGATATCTTAATACACTCACTGTTAATTCTGTATACATCTCAATCAGGAGTAGAATAAACCTTTTCTTTAGACAATTCAAGCCTTGACTTTTGTGGACTGCAACAAACATAAACGGTGATTCAGTGCAATAGATTATAAAATCACATTGCTTTCAGAAACTGGCACAGAAGGATTGGGAAGAGTCAGCAGCAGCTCCATTTGACAGTCCACATTCACAATGAGAGTCACCAGACAGAAATGGAGGCTTACTTTTGTATAGAGCCAGGACTAATGCCTATGAATTGCCAGATCCAGACTTGAGTTTCCAGGCATCACTGGCGGGTTTATTCTTTTGTCAAATTTCAGAACCATAACTCAGTGGAAAGATAAATATTTGTTCTGTCTCTCTCCTTCCCCTTCCCCCCATGTCTGCTGCATCACCCAGGCAAGGCAGGGAGGGGGGAGGAGAAGGAGCAGCAGCTTCTATTGAGATCTCCCAGGCAACAGCAGGCTTTGCTTTCCATTCCTAGGTTTGACATCTCTCTTATGATTGGTCCTTAATCGGTTCTTTATTACCGTGCACACAGAAAACCAATCAAAGCAAGCAAATTTAATATGAGTTCATTCACATAGACTTTTTGCAGGTCAGGCTCCTGGCAGGAGTCCAGCTCTCAGCTGGTTTCAGGCTCTAGCCAGGGGCTTGACTGCAATGTTTCTCATTAGAGAATTGGGACTGCTCCCCAGACCTGCAGGAGACAAAGACACAAGACACCCAAGATGGGCAGGGTTTTGCTGGGATTTTCCACAGTCAGAGTCACCTGCTCCTGTTATGTCTGCTTGGAATTTGATTCTGCTTCTGAGATCAGTGCTTCTGCTCTAAAATTGATTATTCCTGATGCAGGTTTGGAGTCCTGCTTCAGTTGCAAAAAGGATGGTTCCCCCCAGCTTTCAGAATCAGGCAGAAACATGAGACTGCTGTTGTACCTGTGAAGAATTACTACACCAGGGTCAGTTCTCACCGGTCACCATGAGACATTCTGAGAGCTTGGAGCTATAACATTTGCTGTCAGTCTCATTTAACAATATCACCCTGTAAGTGAATGGCAGTTATTGTGAATATTTATGGAGATTATTAGATGAGAAAGGCTCAGCAGTGCTACTTAATTGTTGCATCTGTGATTTCCTAGAATCTGATCAGGAGGGAAATTTTCTCCATGTGGATATCTAGATGGACCATACTGAGGACATTGTGAATGACAGGGGAATAGATACCTGAAGGGTGAGTGTACTCCGTTTTTTAATGATAAAGTTAAGGGTTTTTCACATGAATATACAACATGAAATTATAAGCTTTTGTTATCTTGTAAGCTTTTGTTATTACAGTAGTAATTACAATAATACAATAGCAACTTTCATCACTAATAGATGAATTAATGTTGTTAAATTTCTGAAATTTTATTTAATCATTTTTCTTCAAGAAACACACTGATTATGCTACCTGATTCTCTTAGCTTATTCCTGGGAAATGGGACCTCATAGAGAAAAATAATTTAACCCATTAAAATAGGGTTCACATTTATGTATTTCATATCAGAGTCCCTTATAATCGGTGGACCCATCAGGTATTCTTTGTAACTGTGTGTTCTGTTATCACTCACATACTAGGATTATATCATATAATGTACTGCTGAATGCAATAGAATAGGATTTACAGTCTGAACTGGTAGATCAGAAAGACCAAGTGTTTTACCCAAAAGCAGTTGGTATAACAAAATGTTGTACATGGGTAGGGAAATCCTAGTGAAATGTCAGGAAAGAATGCAAAATACAACATGGACACTTGGGAAGTGTTTAAGAAGCAATAAAAAACCCTCCAGTACACTGTGAGTGCATACTGAGCAGCATAAGGTCTCCTAATTTAATATCCATTATATAGTTAGAAAAGTAGCTTCTGTGATCCAGAGCCTTGAGGGAAATGACAGATGTTGTGGCTGAAAAGCTTCACTTCTGAGATCATGACAGCACATATTTAGGCTATTTGACTTCGTAGAGTTGGAGCTTGACACTCTTTCTTCCCCTTCCATTTCATGAGTGAATCCTGGGTAATGAATAACCAAACCGCAAATGCACCTGAACTAATTCACATATATTTTGTTTGTGTGACTTTAAACATAATAATTCATTTTTGCATGCAGTTCTTGATGTACATGGATTCACTATAATCCAACATGTTATGCAATGTGTATTTGGACATAAATACGATGATTCTCATACTCATACACTGTGCTGATTAGTTTTGGATAACTTTACAGAATAGATATATTTGGGAAGAATGAATCTCAAATGAAGAATTTTGTTCATCAGTTTGACCCCTATGGAATTTACTTTGGGATGTTTTCAGAATTAACGATTGATGAGGGAATTAGCAGCCTATTTTGAGAAATTTCCATCCTGGGCAGATGGTCCCAGATTGTATAAGACAGTAAGTTAAGCGATCCATTGTGAGCACCATTACTCTGTGGCCTCTTCTTATTTTCAAAATCCAGGTCCCTGCCACAAGTGGTTGCTCTGATTTCACTTTATGAAGAGCTATAATCTGTAAGATGAAATAAACCATTTCATAAACAAATTGCTTTGGGTCCTGGTATTTATAACACCAATAAACAACAAACAAGGACAGGCACATAATCATACATACACAGAGAGCAGGGGAAAATCCTTCAAAGATCTAGTGCAGTAGATATGGACAGAAATGAATCTTCTTACTAGGGAAATGTCAATTTGTTCAAAATGTTCTGTTGTAAGAGAGGAGAGAAGATACATGACAATAAAGATACATGATTTTAGAAGTGGTTAGGACCAGGACCAGGTGCTAAATGTGAGTCTGAATTAAAATAAATATGTGAATTATTACAGCCAACTAAACCATATGTGAAAAGCCACCACAGAGGCATTTGTTATTCAGAAATTAAGCTGTTTGAACATTCCATGGAGACAACAGGGTGATCCTCCAGTTATCACCCTGTCAGTATCCTAATGTGAATGAAATAGAGCATCTAAATGATGCATATGCAAAGTATCTTTTGTAAGTCTTTGCTATTGAATGTATTAACTCATATTTGGCTGAATTAAGATATTGTTTGAATAATCATTCCAAGGTGGCTACAGAAAGAGTCAAGAAAGATGTGTTGACACAAATAATTGATTATTGTTGCATATTTGAATTGAATAGAAAATGCAGATCAAGAGAACACAATTCCTGTGTCCACAGTGTGCAGAAGGTTTCAAAGTATTTTTGTGTGTGTGTGTGTGTAAACGTACAGTCTCTAGAGCATTTTTACCACAGTTCTTAGAGTTTTGGAAATATCAGATGTTTCATATACTTTCAAAATTGCCTGTTTAAAAATATTTCTTTATGTGTTTTTTGTGTTTGTTTCAGAGGACCATGCTATTGTGTCAGTTAAATCCTTCTAGTATGAGGGTTTTAAGTTTAAATCCAGTCAAAGTATAAGGGTCCTTTACCCCTTTACCCCTTGCAATTTACTTGGTGT